AGTCCTCCATAAAATGCCCTTGACACATCTGAATATTTGGGTTGAACTGTTCTGGAACAGTGTTGTAAATACAACTTAACCACTGATTTCTAGTCGTGTCCTCTTTTGGAAGGCCAAACAAAGTAGTTTCGCTTTCACAACGAAACAGCATCACACATGGCGGGCTAGAGTTAGCGGAGGCCGGAGGCTTACAGTGAACAGAGGCCGGCGGCTAGAGTGAGCGGAGGCCGGCTTGAGTGAGCGGCGGCAGGCGGGCTTGCGGCAACCACATGGGACGACCCCGGGCTGGACTCCAACGAAAACACAACGAAACAGTACCTTTATTTACGACATGGTGGCAGGCGGGCTTGCGGCAACCACATGTGACGACCCCGGGCTGGACTCCAACGAAAACACAACGAAACACACAGTACCTTTACGACATGGTAGATCTTCTTTATGCACCAAGAGCTTGTAACACTCCAAAGAGAAAAGAAAAATTGAAATCGCATCATATGACCCCTTTAAGACATTATTCTGACTGTGATATCCTGAAACTGCCCTATATAGGAACGTCTGCTTACTGTAGGCCCGAGTGAACCATTAGAATCATTAAGGTTGATACCCTACCTGGCTCTGCCATTTCATCCAGCGCGTCCGGTCTTCCACCAGCTGCTGCAGGAGCCGCTGGGATCCCAGAATGCGAGCTCCTCGCTCTCGACCCGACAGGATCAGCACAGAGTTTCTGTTCTGCACTGACATTTTTCCTCTCTATTGCTTCACGGCCCGGCCGGCCAGCTTTCCTCGCATAAGGGCCGGACACTAACTCAGCAGCACGTCAGCCATGCAGACTGGTGGACAGACACAAAAACAATGAACTTAAATCAACAATCAATAATCTATAGGTCTGTAAGACGCATATTAATCAGCAGAAAACATCTGAGAGATCATTCACTGATTAAAAATCAGTGATCAAGAGCAAGATCACTGTTAATTCTCTGTATTTCAACACAGAGACTTGCAACCTTAATGACAGCTCATCTCCAGACAGATGTCTGTACAAAACTGACTGATCATGCAACAAAACCCTTGATTTTAAAGTTTTAAGAATGTATTCATTAACAATATATCTTGAATACAAACACAATGATCTGTTATGGATTCAAAGGGCCCAAAAATCAAGCATCACTCTACCATCCTGTAGACAACAAATTAAGGTTTAAGTAAACCCTATGGGTGTTTTGCCATGATATTTCTCCACAAAATTACCTTTGGTCATTTTATATATTTAAACACAGATTAATATGATTTGATGTTGCTGCGGTAAAATTAAAGCCCTATCAGATGGTGGTGAACCATGTAAACAAACAAGCCATTTAAATCCACACCATGCCAGTGAAATTTTCATCCACATTTCATCAACAGCAAACCAGAGAAACAAAATATACTCATAAACAGCATCAATAAAGGCATTAAATGTGTTTTTTGGTCGTGCAACTAACAATAACTCACTGCCGTGCCCGCCCAAATATGGAAACTGAATTGAAGCTACAGTGTTAGCCACCATTTATTCGCTATAAACGTTGATGTATTTACACATATTTTAGTTCTAACAATTACATAACCACAAATACATTGTGAATATATTGAAATATAGATTAAATAGCGAATTTATCGATATTTTACAGACCTGTTCTGTTGTGTTTGTCAGTTAAATTTCATTGAAGACGCTGTTAGCTTCTTAGCCTGTTAGCCCGGGATAGATCGTTTTTAAACGAGCTGGATTGACAACCCACCGATCCGAAGCGCCGAGCAGATTAAATTCATGTTAATTAGGAGTATCTCAATCAAACCGTTTTAATCATCGGGACATTGAGAGATTGTATTCTGGTGGCTATATGAGAAATTATGCTAGCTAACTGGTTTGTGGGTAGCTCGGCGTAGGCAGGCATGCTAATCGAGAACTGACTGCATTGAACTGCATTAGGTCGGTTAATCGATTGCAGAGTGGATCACCTCAGAAAAACAACAGGTAGATTGTCTTATTTTTATAACTTGCTGGTCATTGGGATTAATTTATTTTTCATTTGTTTAATGTATGTTTATTCACATGTATTTATAACGTAGAAATAAGAGTATTTTTTTTTTAGTTTTAAGACATTTAAATTGTGTTAGCCTACATCAAAGTCCTTGTGGCAGTACTAAGATACAGTGATTGTATCAGATCATAACTCCATGGTATTTTGATATATACCACAGTGATTAATGATTACCATATTCACGTGCCAGGGTTTTACATGGGACTCCAAGCCACTTCAAAGAAAATCATAGCAAATATGATATGTGCTCCATGTGTCTCTCAGTCCACTTTTTGATAGCAATGATTGTTCACAGAAAGTTTTAAAACAGCTCAAATAGCACATTTATTTAAGTTTTAAATAATTACATACTGAAAAGAAAACTATTCAAATAGTGCAACTGTATCAAATCACAAAGACCTATAGGATTGTGCTTTAAAATAGCCTACAAAGATCAAATTTTTCTAAAACATTTCTAATACACTCATTTTACCATTATGCAATAATAATGACATTTTACAGCATAACCTATTCATAGATTCATTAATACACAATCATTAGTGTGACTATATATATAGTCGTTTAATTTTAGAGCAAATCTGCTGTGCTTTCTTCAACATCTGTGTAAATAACTGTGCATTGCTTCTTACATTCAAATATACCAAGATATTTTGCAAATAAATATTTTAGGTGACTCCACATTCTCAAAGTCTGTACAACAACTCAAGCTCTTCAGCAAGACACTTTAAAGCAAACACATTGGATAAAATATGCACTCTTTTCATGTAAAGTAAAAATGCTTATGTAATTATTAATGCTCAGTATATTTTATTCTTAAACAATAGTTCAAGATTTTATATAAAATTGCCATCCGAGAAAGTCTAGTTGTGCTTGGCCCGGCCTCCTTTCAGGTAAGTCTTCCAGCGTTTCACATATTCCCTGAAAATGGGGGCACTGTCGATTGATGCGAGCAGCTGTAACTGGTTGATGTGCGTGGTGTGGTAGTCCCAGCGTGCTAAATTAGGGGCAAGACCCAGGGTAAAGTGTCTCAGGTCGTAAACCGTTCCAGAGCCTGTGTCGAACAATGGCAACATGGCCTTGAGTGACTCCAGTCCTTGACTGAAGAGTACACCTGCTTCTCGACCAAGCTTGTTGCCCGCCGTCTCCGCCACATCATATAGCCCAATCAGAGAGTAGATAAAGCCGTTAAGAACAAACGAACTAGGTGTTGTGGGGTATTCCTCGTACCAGTCGTACTTGTTCATGAATGTCGCTTTGACTCCACCATGTTCAGAAGTCCTCTTGAAGGGGGATGTCGCTCGGATTGCGGCGCCGAGGTATGCAGGGTTGTGCGTCACCAGGTACGTCCTCACTAATGTTGACATGGCTTGGCCTTGGGCCATTGCAGAGTACCATCCGGGCTCCAAGCTCTTGAACCCCTCTCCGAGTTTTCGGGTCACCTTAATCGGCCACCCTCCATGCTCATCCTGGTTATGAAGAAGCCAATCACTGGCGGCAAAGAAGGGAGCCATGTGTGCAGTGGAAGACACAGTGATATTGCTGATACAGCCAGAACCTCTAAGAACCAGCTGGACCACACAGCGAGGCATGATCTTGGTCGCCTTCACCACTTTGGTGTTGGACAAACCGACTCCTTTACGCAAATCCGTCACTAAATCGCGACTGACGGTACTCCAGGAGGCTCGAGAGCCGATGCCATAGATGACCTCTCGGTCTTTAAATGAAAGAAGGAGTGGACTAGTGATGTAATGGAGGATGTAAGGAGGTCCCTTTTCTGTGGTCTCCAGAACCACAGAGACGCTACCATTGGAGACAAACTTCACATCAAAGGTTAGGACGAAATCTTTTGCGTTGTCCAAGACCAAAGACACACCATCAGGGTTCTCTATGAAAATACAACAAAGTTATCATCTATCTGTGATCATCACAGCAAAACAGTTGATTCATCTGAATTCAAACCTACAAAAATTTTGCAAAGGAATTCATACCCGCTGTGACAAAATGATGCGCAAACCCAAAGCGACCTTGATCCTGGAGCTTAGAGAGTGTGCAACCCTTAGGGACAACCCATGGACTTGAGCCACCCTCTTTTTCCTCAGACACGCCGTAGATCTTTATATCAGGTGGCTTTTCTGTGAGGTTCTTGCTGTAGTGGCTCAGCCCATACTGAGCTATTTGAATTGGGTAGAAGTACCCCTGGGGACCCCACTGGGTAGAGATTGGTACACCTGTGAACAATAAAAACACAAAAGGTTGATCCCAGAAATGGGATAACTTTCTGAAACCATTTGAGCCAGGAGTGGCCAAGCCTGATACTTACAACATAACAAGGCACTAAGTACAACTTATGCACTACAAAATATTTTTGCGTTGCACCATTACATTTGAAATGTAGCTCTACATATAAGCTAAATATTTACAGAAGCCTCCAACCAAGAGTGACATTTGCAAATGCATCAATAATGTTTTATCTGACAAACTTCAAACATATGTTACTTTAAGCCAGGGGTGCCCAATAGAGGTCTACACGGGTCCAAAAATTCGAAAAAGAAGCCTTCTCCCTTGTACCTGACTGTGATGCACACAATCCTCCTTGCCATGAAAGTTCCATCCGTGTTATTCCTCTCTTGCCAATTGAAATGCGTAATCCACTCATTATTCCAGTTTCAAAAGTCCACTTGCTGTCACGGTGACGGATGACAAATGCGACTTTGCAGTTTTGCATTTTTTGTATCTCGAGTCAACTTGCATAATAATTTAGACTGTTTGCCGTGCGTGTGCATTAACTCCGCCCACCCTGCTTCTGATGACGTCGCTCGTGTTTTTTTGTTGTTTTTTTTCACCTTATTTCAAATTACTGACTCACACTTTTCTCATCCTAATTTTACAAGTTGAAAGTTACAAAACAACACACGCACAGCGCTGACTGACTCTGATAACGGCCGGGTGTTCTCCGAGTCCGATCGACTCGGGTATTACACACAATGTTAAACAGACCCGGGACACGAAGTAATAGATTGGGACCCGACCCGGACCCGGCTGACCATTTAAAATATATCCCCGAACCCGTACGGATCCCAGGTCGGGTCCCGGGTCCTCGGGTCTCGGGTCCTCCGTGTAGACCTCTAGTGCCCAATCATGTTCCTGGAGACCTACCTCCATGCAGAATTCAGTGCTAACCCTGCTCCAACAAACCTCTCTGTAATTATTCCTGAAGATATTAAAGGGATAGTTCACCCAAAAAAATTGAATTCTGTCATTAATTACTCACCCTCATTTCGTTTTAAAACCCGTAAAACCTTCGTTCATCTTCAGAACACAAATTAAGATATTTTTGATGAAATCCGAGAACTTTCTGACCCTCCATAGACAGCAAGGGAACTACCACGTTCAAGGCCCAGAAACGTAGTAAGTATATCATTAAAATAGTCCATGTGACATCAGTGGTTCAACCGTAATTTTATGAAGCTACGAGAATACTTTTTGTGCATGAAGAAAACAAAAATAACGACTTAATTCAACAATTTCTTCTCTTCTGTGTCAGTTTTCGACACACATTTAAGAGAGTACCATGACGCAGGAGCCGGCATTCTGATGTAGAACCCGGATGCACTGTGGCTTGTTTGCAAGCAGAGGAATTTACATGCATACGTCAGGGTACTGTCGTGAATGCGTGTCGAAGAAATTGTTGAAGTTGTTCATTTTGGTTTCTTTGCGGACAAAAAGTATTCTCGTAGTAGGTGAATGTGGTAGTTCCCTTGCTGTATATGCAGGGTCAGAAATCTCTTGGATTTCATCAAAAATATTTTAACTTGTGTTCCGAAGATGAACAAAGGTCTTACGGGTTTTGAACGACATGAGGGTTTGTAATTAATGACAGAATTTTCATTTTTGTGTGAACTATCCCTTTACTTAGCTGGTTAAGATGAGTTTCATTAGAGTTAGAGCTAAACTTTACAGGAAGGTCAATCTCCAGGAACAGGATTGGGCACCCCTGCTTTAAGCATATATGATAATGTTGACATTTACACTTGCTTACATTTTAAGAGAGAGAACATAATGTAAATAAATGACTAACGGCTTTTTAACACAAACCCAATCTAAACCGTGTACCTTTGTGTTAGGGGTGGAACAGTTCATGAAAAAAATCTGAACCGTTCAATTCACTTGTCACGGTTCGAGACACATGTGTATTGTTCTGTCCGGCCACGCACAGCGTAAAGTGTTTTTTATCATTTGGAGTTCAGAGTTTTTAGAGGAGGCACCGACAGTATCGTTCCGGTCTACTGTGTGGGATCATTTTGGATTTAGTGCTACATATGACAATGGCGGTAAGAAAGTGGTGGATCAAACCGCGACAGTTTGCAAGCACTGTGCAACACATTTTGCTTATGCTAATGGAAACACTTTCGATATGTTAGCTCATCTGCAGAGACATCACCCCAGTGTATCAACTGACAGTGAAAGAAAGAGAAAGTCGGAAAGGAAAGAACAACTTGTACTACCCGAAGCATTTAAGCAAAGCAAAGTAGACAGGGCTAAAGCTACAAAAAGAGCACTGTCTGTTTTTATAGCAAACGATATGCAGCCTTATGCCATGGTAGAGGATGCAGGATTTAAGAATATGATCAAAGTAGTCAAGCCGCAGTATAATATTCCCTCCTGCAAACACTTCAGCGACGTGAACATATACAATTTCATTAAAAGTGTTAAAAGGTTACTTACACAAACACTACAAATAAATAAAAGCATACAACAACACAAGATTTACCTGTCTGAAGAGACATGACAAGTAATTGTCAAAGAATTGTCCGAAACAGCCTACGTAGCTCTTACTTCAGATGCATGGACCTCCAGGGCCACTGAAAGTTTCCTAACTGTGACTGCACATTACATTACTTCGGAGTGGGAGATAAGAAGCATCATTTTGCAGACCCCTTTATGAAAGCCACACCAGTGAGCATCTCTCTAAAGCACTGACACGAGCAGTGACAAAGTGGAAACTGGAGAGGTGCAACAGCACAATCCCTGTGACTACAGACAATGCAAAAAAATATGGTTAATGCAGTCAATGCAACAGCTGAACTGGGGCCACAGATCGGGTGTTTCGCACACACATGCAGTCTCAATAAATCAGGTATCCAGACTCCTGGGGAAGATTAGGAAAGTGGTCAGTTTTTTTCAACAGCTGCCCATGCTCTGAAAACCAAGCAGGAGATGCTGCAACTTCCTGTTCACAAACTAGTACATGACGTTTCTACTCGTTGGAATACAACGTATGACATGTTAGAGCGTTATGTCGAACAGCAGGCTGCCATATTTTCTGCCATGATGGACAACGAGGTAAAAAAAAAATGTAAAGGACATTGCAACCTTGTCAGACACAGAGGCAAAACTGGCAGAGGACCTGATTAACACTATTAAAACCCTGAAGACTGTGACAACACTCATGAGTACTGAAGCATCCCCATCTGTGTCAATGATCATCCCTTTGCAAAAGATGATACTAAAATCCATGACAACTAGTGATGTGGACACTCCCCCAATCAAAGATGCAAAGGTAGCCATCTCTGAAGACCGTAAAGGCAGATGCCGTGACACTGATCTTCAGGGCTATTTGCACAGAGCCACAGCACTGGACCCAAGGTTCAAGTCGTTGCCTTACCTGGAGGAAGCCTCTGTTCAGAAAATATACAGTAATCTCACCACAGAGGCGATGGAAATTAAAAAGCAGGTATTGTGTTTTTATTTTCTTTATAACTAAATTTAATGTAATTTATCATCATTACTATTACAGTATATTTCTTAAACTTAAACCCAGCATATTTGTGGCTTTGTAATAATTTCCCCCACAGCCCAAAGAATACGTTTAGTGTCTTTGCTGCTATGAAAGCACTTTGTTGTAGTTAATATTATTTTCTAAACTATTATGGTGTTTGCTGGTTTTCTACTGTACAGGGTCAATCCATTGACATCCAAGTGGCCAGTTCATCCTCAGCAGCAGAGCCAGGAGCATCAGCTCCTCCCCAGAAAAAAATCTGCCATGGCAGAGCTTTTTGGAGAACTCTTTACAACAGAGGAGAGAACCAACAACCCTTTGTCCAGCATCATTCAGCAAGAAGTCACCTCCTAAGACACAGATTGCATTTCTGTTGATGCAGATCCCCTAGCATGGTGGAAAATAAACGAGCCAAAGTATCCTCACATTGCTAAATTGGCACAACGTTACCTTGCTGTCCCAGGCACATCTGTACCAAGTGAGAGAATTTTCTCTACAGCAGGGGACATTGTCTCTGCAAGTAGGTCTCATCTCTCAGCAGAAAACGTGGACATGCTAATTTTCTTGCAAAAGAACATGAAAGTAGAATGAACGGAGCAATGTTGTTTGGTTTTATTTATGCAGTATTTTATATTTAAGGGCAGCTAATTTGTTATTTAATTTATTTACATTACATAACACAGTGGCACATTGACTTGTGATACAAAATCCAGCAATATTTATTTGTTTGGTTTTCTTTCAAATACTGCACTTTCATTTCAAGTGGTTGAGTTTATTTTAAATAAGGGAAAGTATTATGCTGGTTGATCTTATGTTTCTTTTTATGTTGGTGGCCTTTATGTCACCATAAAAATCTACAGCTTTAAGTTATTTTTCTTCATTTAAAGATTAATTTTTTGTAAGAGCCACCACAAAGTTAACCCTGTAATAAATGTAGGCTAGGCACTGACAGTGACAAGAAAGCCTATTCTTTAAATTTGACAATAAGTGTTTTTGCTCTCAGCTACAATTTAAAGGCAGAGTAAGTGATTTCTGGTAGCCAATGTTGATATTTGAAATCACCAAAACAAACACGCCCCTACCCCAAAAGGGTCTTGCCCCTATTTTGATAGCTCTGCCCCACACATACGTACGCAACCCAGGCAACGATTAGTTCTTCGGCGTCCGATCGCAGGCCTCCGCTCCTTGTGTTCTCTCCAGCGCTGGAAAGCTGATCTGATATTTACACGGGTCCTACTTCTTGCCTTATCTTTCCGCAGACGTTTTCCTCTTTTGTTTTTTTATCCGCCATCTCTATCTTTCTGTCGCTCGGCTCAGCTAATGTCCATCCCATGCACTGAAAGCTCTCTCCCCCACATCACGAGTAGACACGCCCCTTATTGCTGATTGGCTACAAGTTTGTTTTGCGATTCGGCCCGAATCAGTTTTCTAAAGTGTTTTTGAAAAATCACTTACTCTGCCTTTAAGGCCAACAGTTGTAAACTTTTTAATAAATAAATGAAAAGCCTGTTGAAATTGACAACATCTCCCCTCTTGCTGTATCAGAATCCCACAGATTTAATTTATGATGGTCAGTGTCACAATAATGTGTCTATTCCTAAGATCACGCTGCCTCATTCTTTCAGTTTATTGATTACATGACCTTGAGAATAACTTATTTTTAAATACTGTAAATGGTAGATCATAAGGCTATATATTTTATGCTGATGTATGGTATTTCTAAAATATTAAAAATGAAAAAAAAAACATTAACAATGTATACCAAAAATTTTGTGAACCGTTTCACCCCTACTCTGTGTGTATTATTACGTAGGGTGGCAAAATAAGGGACACCCCAAACTACCTTCCACACCACTGATGCATTTCACCCGATCCCGCACTTCCACGTTGTACCCCTCAAAGGACATGAAGACCCCATCCGGGTGGTAAGGCTCCCTTTGGGCGTACACCCGGGAGTAACTGTGGGAGAACTCAAACCGTTCCGTCCCATCATACTGTACCAGATGCCCGTAGACGTCAAAGTACCTTTCCACCCAGCTGAAGGGCAGATACACCTCGCCCCCCTCCCTACGGCCTTTTATGATGACATCTTCATTGATAAGGCAGTCAATCTGCTCATAAGTGACTTCTTTGGATCCAGGCGGTGCTTCGGGGGCCTGCCCGTTGTCCTCGTCCTTCTCTGGGGTGGGTGCAAACTCCAGCTGAGGTCTGATCTGTGTGGGCAGGTCTTTGTCACTGGAGCACTTGTTCCACAGCAGTATAGTGATGAGGGCAAACACAGCACAGATGACTATCAGAGTCTTGTGATTGATGCGAGCCACCAGACAGTGCATTGTCACATCACAGCCATGCAGTGATAGTGGAACTGACACCGGAACATCTCAGGAAACCCTTATGGTCCTTGTTTGAGCGATTCAGGTGCGCATATCTGCGGACAGAGGTAAATATGGGTCCACCATTTTGTCATATACTTGGAATAACCACAAAATATGACAAAATATCAAATCTTACCTTACTTTAGTCTTGTGGTGAAGGCTACGCTCATAATAAATTTAAATTATAAAATAAAAAAATGTATGTATAGCTACATACCATCTAGATGAAACTTGCATGGTCACACTATGAATAAGAAATAACTCTCATTATTCAGCACATACACAGGCGAATGCTTATAAAATCTAATCGCATCTCTCTAAATTGAAGCTGCGAGCGCTCATATGATTTTGAATGCGAATGAGGGCGTTGAACAACATGCAGTGCTGTAAAACGGAATGAAACCATACTTAGGCTCACCTGAAACCCGCGCGCCTTCCGCTCGGGGGTCTATGAAGGCATAAAATAGAAGACGACAAAGAAAAATATACGCGGAGAGATTCCTCTCGCTCCAAATCTGCAACATGATAGATGCTACAGCTGTATTGATGCAGCACTGACCAATGGGAGGCGACGTGATTACGTGGCAGCCAATCTTATGTCAGATGAGATGTGACATGAGGTGAATATTATGATTTATAAGCACGATTCCTGTTTGTGGCAAGCCCACCTGCATTTACGAATTGTATGCATATTGTTATTTTTTAACTAAAATTTTATTTTGAAACATTTTACAATTATTTTATTATTATTATACATTTTAGATTAATACTCAGGTAAATTAAAAAGGAATAAGAAAACGTTTATAGGTATGATTTTATGTGCAGAATCTCAGTGAAATTCTGAATGATAAACAAAGTCCATATAGTGCCGCTTGTGTTGCGTTGCTGAACATAATCGCAAGATGTCTCTGTAAACCAAGTGAATAATCCATGTCTGAGTTTGACTGTTTATTTTAGGAAATCTGAGAATTCCCACAGTCTCTTAAAAACAGAACAGGGAACATAATGCGACAGGTATGGGCAACACATTTCTATCTATTACAATCTCTAACGATTTCAAACGTTTTTACACTTAGAAACAATAGTTAAAACACTTACACAGACACATAAATAGAACAATAAATACAAGTAAATAAAAAATATTAATACTTCTAATGTGTATATATGGTAATATTGTATGTAATATTTATCATTATTTTTATATTATTATGCCTTGGCAATGTAGTTTATGTCATCAAAGCAGTTGATTATTATTATTATTTTTTTGGTAACTTTAAGGTGTCCTTGTTACACACGTTACATGTACTTACTATTATAATAACATATAATTATGAATATATAATTAAATGCAAGTAACCCTAAACTAAGCCCTTATCCTAACCCTAACCATATAGTAAGTAAATGTAGTTAATTAATATTTCTCAGAACATCAATGTATAATTACACTGTAACAAGGACACCTTAAAATAAAGTGTAACCTTTTTAATCATTATATTTACATGTAACTAATATTTCCAACTGTATATTCTAGAGTAAATTACTTCATATTATTACTTACATGACAATTTTACGTTACACCAACTGCAGTGACTATTCTCTTACTGGAGAAAAAAACTTTTACATGATGCATATTCATAATAACCAGAAAGGGCATTTCTAAAATTCATAAAAGAAAAAAAACAAACATATACAATTTCATTAAAAGTGTTAAAAGGTTACTTACACAAACACTACAAATAAATTAAAGCATACAACAACACAAGATTTACAAAACGTACAACATCAGACACATCGGCAAGATCCGATTGTCAGATGATTGTGTTATTATTTGTAGGATTTCAAGCAAATGAAATATTGTAAATTCTTCAGAAATTTTCTTTGTAGAAGTTGAAGCCAAAATGCTCACACTGTGCCTTGATGACTTTGGCAAGAGCAGGAGAACCACAATAAAAAACATGAACCTTTCCTTTCTTTTCTTCAGACACTTTCTGGAAAACCTAAAAATGCATTTAAACACTGATAATCAAAGATATTGGGGAGAATAGAATAGAACAGAACAGAACAGAATAGAATAGAATAGAATATTGGCCTTGCTTACCTTGGCCCAATCTGGTCTGCCTGGCTGTGTACGTGTGCGCAGGCCGGTGATGGAATCTCTCTTCTCTTTCTTGGCCAGTAGGTCCAGAGCCATCTGTAGACCTATGGCCTTCATATCATTCTTACTGAGGGCTGAAGTCATGTACATGTGCATCTCCAAAAAACGGCCTGAAAACATAAAAACAAGTATGATTGTGCCAACATTTCAGTGCCAACCCCATATCCCTCTTTCTTCAGTTCTCTCTTACCCTCTGGCTCTTCATCTGCCTGGTCCATCTCCAGCTTGGTCAAGAGACTCACAAACCACTCAAAGGATTTCTGATCTCGGTTGATCCAAATGAAGTCCACCTGCAGGAAGTTAGAAGAGAATTAAAAACTTCATGAGATCGAAGTTGTTCATGTCCATCAGCTTTGAAGCTATCTATATACTGTAAAAAATAATATGATTAATAAATCATGGCAACATGATTAAATGTAACCAATTTCAACTTAATTTTTTTAAATTGTGACATTCAATAAGACAAGATTTTTAAAAAATGAGTTGAACTGTACAACTTACTAGTTTGATTACTTAATAATTTAAGACAGCAACTGAACTGAAAGGAATAGTTGACCCAAAAATTTAAATTTTCTGAAATAAAATAAATATTTTCCCTTTTATTTATTCTAGTTTCCATTCGACTGATCACCACTCTTACCTTCCTCAGTTTCATTTCATTGTCTTTGATGGTTTCACACCAGGAATAGTTGCAGTTGGGGCAGTTTTGCTTTCTCATGCGATAACTGAAAAAAAGACAAAATGAAATTTTACACACAAATTTTTAAAATTTGCATGTGGTTTTTTTCATGCAAAGAAAACTTAACTCGAATGTTATGAATGGAGAGGTTGCGTGTCTCACCGGCACATAATACTCTGCAAAATGGATGCAAAGGGAGTGATGCCGATTCCAGCGCCGATAAGCACCGCATGCTCAGATGCAAAGATCTGCCGAGTCGGGGTGCCAAAAGGTCCGTCCACATAGCACTAACAAACAAAGGCATAAACAAATGCATACAATTCCTGTAAGACAATCACTTTCAGTAAATTAGTTTACATTTTTTGTAATCAAATTACTTACCTTAATGTTACAATATCTGTGATTTTCACTTAATTTTGCTGTAAGCTGGAAGACAAAAAAAAAAAAAAGTCTGGCTAATGTGTATCTTATGTATAATAGAACATATGTTCTGCTTTGTTCAGACAGAAAACTCACTTCTCTTGTAGCCGGAGAGGCGTCTCCCAGTTCTGCCTGGGCTACTGGGTCACTGACGGGCTTCTGGGAGTTTGTGTGTGTTCCGCTTGTCCGGTATAGGGTCAGTTCAACAGCATCATCCTTATTAGACGCCACAGTATTGTTGCAGCTTGCAGACTTGAACATTTCATTCTACATGGAGCAGTGTTACATTGTTTACTAAAACTAAAACCCAAAAAAAAAAAGAATTTCATTACTTAAAATAAAATAAACTTTAACTGAAAAAAAAATTATTTCAGCTAGCTGCCAAGGCAACATTTTTACTTAAATGTTTTTTCCCCCACAAATTTTTACTTAATTTAACTTGATGTACTAAAATAACTAAATCTAAACTGAAATAAAATTGATAAAAATGCATAGATATTTAAAAAATAATAAATATGATAAAGACCCAAGAAGCCGTGGTTTACTCCGCTTCGCGTCGTGCCTAACAACGCCCCTTAGCTGTTATAAATTCATTGTAAACCACGGCTTCACGGGGCTTATTGCTTTTATAAAACGGTTATTCCATATACGTAGTTAGGTTTCACAAAATAAAACAGAGCAAATAAAGTGTAATGATATAAATAGAGTATTCTTCCACCAAACAATGTAGTTCCTCAGAAACAGTTGTGGTTGCAACAAAGTGGTTGCCAAGCAACACACAGAAGTAAACAAAGGTGTATGTTTGTAGAGTAATTTACAACAGCTTCGAACGCGGATAAACCAATCAGAATCAAGGACCGGAACTATCCGTTTTATAAAAAAAACTAAGCTAAAATTAAAATGAAAACAGCAAATATAAAAATAAAATAAATTCAAAATATTAATGAAAACTATAATAGTATCTCAATAATACTGCAGAAGAAGTGCAAATGTCTACTGTATTAAACTTGTTTAAAGTTCTTACTTTGCAATTTGAACTTGTCTTTCTATAAAATAAATGGCAATATTTGTTCCAAAAAATACTGGAGAGAAGCCCGTTGATATAATAAAAGAAATTCAAAAAGTCTTGGTAATGTCAATGATGTGATTACAAAGCGATCCCACCTATAAAGAATTGCATCAATAAAACATCACAGTAATGAACTTCTATCACTATGTGTTAAGATTCCGGCGCTCAGCCAGTGGATGATGGAGAAAAGCAAAGACCTGCGTCCTGCTCTCGTGGCGTCTGTTCCTCAGGCTGGCGGTGAGCCTCTTGTTGCTAATGGTTTGACTCTCCGGCTGTCTGAAATACTCGTACAGGCGGTTTGTCCACTGGCCCATGGAACGGATATGGAGCCACAGCGTATCTGTTCGAGGGAACGAAAAATATTTTGTTAAACACTTGCTTTGTTATGTACATTTCTTTGTATAAATTTTGTTTTGTTAGAAAAACTGTTTATTGTGCAGCTTTGTTTTGTTTTGTTAGAAAAATAAACTTGAATTAACTGACTGCCTAAAAAAATTGTATTAAAAACATCTTATGGTTTTCCTTTTTTGTGTAAATGTTTTGTTTTATTTCAAAACATTTACACAAAAAAGGAAAACTATAAGATGTTTTTAATACAGTTTTTTTAGGCAGTCAGTTAATTCAAGTTTATTTTTCTAACAAAACAAAACAAAGCTGCACAATAAAGTGCACAAAACACAATAAAGTTGTTTTCAGACAATCTGTCTTGATTAAACATTTTGGTAACACTTTCTATGAAGCCTGTATTTATAATACAGGGGGGGTTTCGTTAGAAAAAAGTTTTGTTAATAAAAATAAACTTAAGACAGATTATCTGAAAACAAGTAACAACTAAAATGAACAAGTAAACATTTTTTGGTTTTGTTTGAAAACATTTTTTAAAATAAAAAAACTTAAGACAGATTGTCTAAAAACAAGTCGCAGATTGGTTGAAAACAAATCTTATTGTGTTAAACATATTTGCTTTGCGTAAATTAATGTTTTTTTTTTCCTAAAAGGTGTTTAGATTGTTTAACTGCAAAACAAAACCAAACAAAAACATTGACAAAATATAAATAAGATCTTTCTGCAGTGCATTTTAATTGCGTTTAAACGCACATACTACTAAAATATAAACAAATCACTGTCGTATATTAGAATTTCGCAAGACTAATATAACTATATGCTTTCCAGTTGTTTTACCTTGCTGCTCAGGAGCGCTGCTGATGGTAAACGGATGCCACTCATACTTGGCGATAACAGGAATGTTTATATACACATAATCTCCAGGTTTAAAGTGAAAGAATGGAGGCCTCTTGATCACCAAATGTGTTACCTTTGAAATAAAAGGCAGTAGAGGTGAGGCTTTCAGCATGGATGACTAACTAAATGTTCCAGTAAACAAAATACACCAAAATATGTACATCGGCTCAGATGGTACCTTTGAGGGCAGTAAGTTGACTTCAACTATGTACAGCCCACCTATGCGGGACACTGCTATTCCAACAAGTTTCTCAATGAGGAACATCAGTCCTGGTGCCACAAACCATTTCCAAAAGTTGGCACAGTGGACGATCAACAGGGCCCAAACCCAGACGTAGGAAAGATGAGACCAGTAGAACACCTACACAAAAACAAACCCTTTCTTTGAACATATTACGCTTTGACAAAGCATATTTGAATGGTTTTTGTTTGTTGGTATGCATGGTTGAATTAATGTGCTGCTATTTGCGAACAGAATTCTTTGCTAACTTGTTTTTAATGGCCTTGAAACAATTGTCTTCGTCAGCTGCATATTTTCCAAATCGACAGATATTCACAGAAGCGACCATGTGCAGATTGTTGCTTCTCATGAATTCAATCAGCAAGCCATCACCTCAAAATGACCACTGCGTCTGACGAACGTGCTGGAGCACACCACCATCAAGCAGATGAGAACCTGCAGAACCACGCCCGTAATGGAGGCGGTGCCGTTGACCCAGCCAATCCCAGGACGGATGGTGAAAAGATACTCCCACAGCTGGTACATGCCATCATCCTGAGACATTCGGGCTAAGAATAGAGGGAAAGGGATATTAAGAAATATTCTTTATTAATATATTGCTTTTGTGAAGGTCATATAGCCTTCTTATACACTGAATTTAATCCTATAAAGCCTATAGTATCATACATGATACGCAATCTAATATTTCAAGATAAATACTGGACTGAAGCAACTTAGGTTTACTTATTTATCCATGAATAATTTTTGATGGCTTTTGAGGATCTCTCAGTCATCACTGAATTGCATTGTATTATACGTTTCGTTCCCCACAATGAAAACAACATTTAATATCATCTATTAATATATGCATTATATTATTGGGAGATAACGAGTGGCAACTGAAGTTTATTTGCATTTGATGTAAGCAGTATAACAAGCTACTCCACATTCTCCTATATGAGGCATAAAAGCCTGATGTGTCAAATATGATAACATAATATTTGCAACTCATATGCAACTTTTTTTCTTTTTTAGATCTTGTGTAAAGATTCAATATACTGTTAAATTTAAAAATATATAAAATAATACAAGAAATAAATTAATAAAATAAAATAAAAAATAGATGTTTGGGGCTATTATTTCATATGTCAGGCTTTATGGAGTTAAAGGGATAGTACACCCAAAAATGAAAATTGCCATCATGTGCTTTTTTTTGTCCATACAATGAACGTCAGTGGTGTCCAGTGTTTTTTGGACCCCACTGACTTTAAAAACAAATAATCTTTTGTGATTTACAGTAAAAAAAAGAAAAATAACAGGGTTGCAACAACATGAGGGTAAGTAAATGATGACAGTTTTCATTTTTTGGGTCATTTTTATCGACAAGTTTTATTACAGGTTCATATTTACTTCATGTTTAGTTCAAGTTGACTTGTCAATAGAATGAAAGTCAATGTTTTTTGGACCCCACTGACTTTCAAAAACTATCCCTTTAAATGAATTTGACCATTTTTAACAAGTTTATCACAGGTTACCAAAGTTCATGACGTGAGCACCAGTGTGCCCAATGGTGAAGATCAAGACGGCGTAGCCCACGATCTGATGCAGTAGAATGTTCTGGTCCAAAGGGAAGACCCTCACCACCCAGGTAGCACGTAGCCACGTCAGACAACGCCTCAACATCAGCACCTGCGAGACAAAACCCTCTGTCACTACAGGAAATATTAAATATTAGATGAATTAGTATGCTCAACTCACTATAACAAAAGTGCAGTTGAGGTTGAGACACTGGCCGCAGCCCTTGGCCACCATGAACCAGGGGCCTCCATGTGCGTTCTTCAGCATAGCGATGATGAAGAGGAGCACATTCAGGAGAGCGTACAGGCAGAGGAAGAACAGCTTGCGGCTGTTGTTGTGCCAGTACGCCCGCGTCAGGTAACGAGGAGTCTTGCTTTTCTTCTGCTCCAGATCAGGAGGTTTCAGCCAGTTGGCGGCACTGAGTGAAAACAATAGAAAGTAGTATTTTTTTGGTAATTTTGGTAATAAATTTGGTACATTTTGGAGCATTTCTTTTTGATTACACAGTGGTTAGTTCTGGTCTTTGGTAAAGAGTAACAAACCAACCAGCTATGATGTGTATCATAACATTACAAATATTTGATTCAAACCAAAACAATATTTCAAAACTGGACAAAAACGTATAATGTACCAAACTACAATCCCATTAAGCGAATTAAAAACGACAGATAAGTATAAAACTACTGATTTAAAGATATTGTGTATATAAAAAAACAACATATTTTGTTTATTGCAAAATATGCATATAGATACAGATAGATTGAGAGTGTAGTTAGACTGACTATATTACATTATTTGCAATGCTTCATTGGAGCGGATGGGCACTAAGAGTTATTTTGGCGTGATTTGCTGGTTTCGATTCTCTGATTGGTGGAGATTTCTCTGCAAAATCATGGTAATGTACTTTTTTAACAGGCATTTCATTCAGGATCTAAACATGGTTTGGGGCTAGAAGGGGCTTACTAGGCATGCGCACATCAATATTGCGTAATTTTTGTCACGCTGAACAACAATAATGACTGTTTTTGCATTATTGTAAGGGTTTAGGGTTGGGGTAGGTGTAGACGTTAATAAAACACAATGTGATAGGTAGCCATTTTAATTTCTTGTTATTTTATGGCAAGATTTTGCGTCACTTCTGGCCGTAGCTGTAGGCTATTCCTTCTAGCCACAACCCTAAACTTGAGTTTTTATGAGTGAGCTATTGATTCATTCACTCAAATGATTAAAAAAAACGGATTCGTTCAGGATCTAAACGTGGTGATTATTGTTTTTATGAGTGAGTCATTGAATCATTCTGTCAACTGTTTCGTTCAAAACTCAAAACTCAAGTTCATTCATTAATGGAACACCGCTATTGTGTTGCTCAGACGTACACAACCGGTTCATTTCATTTGATACTATTTCCGTCGCCAAAGGAAAAATAATCAAAGTACAGGCAAAACTGTATCCAAAATATAAGGCTACTCAATATTAACTTCTTTCTTACTGAACGGTAGTATATAAAAATCATACTCTCAATTGTGCTGTTGATCTGAATAGCATCTCTTTTGTAATATAATCGTGTCCCACCTGATGGTGAGGTTCTCCATAACTTCAGGAAAGTTCTCCAGCTCTGCCTTCAGCTCTTCAAACGTGATGGAGCCACTGTTATCTTGATCAGCAGATTCGAACAGTGCCAGCGTCAGGTCATCCAGCTTTTCCTCAGGGAGTGAGATCGCACTCTCACGCAGACAGGATTTCAGAACCGTACGTAACTCATCTGGGTCTATGGAACCACTGCCTACATGACAGGTCAACACAATAATTGAATTAATAGTTTAATGCTAATTGTTTAACAAACTAGGGTGTAACGCAAGTATGGCATGTTCCTGGATCAAAACATTAGTCAGCCAATTCTTTGATATTACTGTTAGGGGCTGTTATGATCTGTGTTATTTAATAGGAATGTTGTGTAAGGAACAGCAAGGGATAGGCCTATATATTAATACATCTCTCTCTCTCTTCAACTTTCACAGTACTTTCAATTTTAAGTATTTTATTAGCATGATTGTGTTTACATATGTACTTACTCAAAATGTAATTGGACCAGGAACATATTCTACTTGTGTAAATCACTTTGTGCATTTAACTTGGCAATCAATTTCTTAAAGCATTTCAGAATAATAAAATTGTAATTGTAAGAAGAAGAAAAAAATGCATTACGGGAGCAATTCTCAAACTCCATTGTAACCCCATTGTCAATATTGTGAGATTCAGTGATTTTTTTGTTCGTCTTGTGCTAAAATGACGACATTTTTTGTGCTAAAATTATGACAATTACCACTAAATTTTAGAATGAAAGAGTAAAAGCTGATGGTATTTTACACCTTACCATCCACATCGTAGACCTGGAAGAGGAAGCGTAGTTTGTCTGTCTCACTGCCATGGATCAGAAGATCTAAAGCCTCGAGAAGTTCATCCAGACTGATGGAGCTGCTGCCATCAGAGTCAAACAAGGCGAAAAACCTCTCCGCAAAAAATGACTACAACAACAAACAGGAGAAATAAAAGATCATATCGAGATCTTAAATATTATAAAGGTTTCCATGATCAGAAAGCTTACCTCTTTTACTTTCAGAGCTGTTTTAAACTCATCCAAGTCGATTTCTTTATCATCTCCTGCAATGCTCTCAAACTGCTTGGTGACCCATTCCAGCCAGCGTGTGTCTTCATCTATACTCATGTCTCTGCTTCACAGTCCACACACACACTGTATGCATTGAAGACAAATGTAGTCTCAGCCTTCTCTCAGAATCATATTTAGTCCATAACTGCATACATGTAAACATTTTGCAGGAAACACACTTTTTCAGACAGTTGAAATAATAATTGTTCTCATGTGGCCACATTTTAAACCAGTTAGTAAATAGTTGAAAGCAATATTATACATATTTACCTGTCTGTGCATATACATATATATATATATAGCCTAACATAGAAACAAACACTCACATTAGATAGATAGATAGATAGATAGATAGATGAAATGCAATAATAATCCATGGGTGTAACTACAAAGTTTACACAATGTCCCATTTAAACAAGAGAAAGCATAACCTTTAGATGTAAATCTCCTCAGTCTTTGTGTTTTGCAAATATTTCCTTTCGACCTTTTTATTCGACTTTTATTCTCACAGGCAAAAATGAAAAAGATACCGAGATTTTTTTTTGCGGTCTCAAGTTGTTGCTGTTGCAGCTAGTCCAGTGAACCACCTTTCAGAGGAAAAGAGAGAGAGAGAGAGAGACATACAGAGGGAGGCTGGGCAGTATTGTTATGGACATTCAATATCTCGTACACACAGCAGCAGCTGCCCCTGACATCCCTGCGCCTGCTGAGCGGCCCTCAGTATGACCCATACTGCACTTCTCATCACTAAATCACAGCTAAACACTAATAATATGTTTCATTCTGTCTACCGACGAAAAAGCACTATGTTGGAGTCCATGTGACATTTATGCACTACTATATATTCAGTCATCTAAAGTCATACTCTGTTGAATTTCTAATTTTATTCACAGAAAACTCATCTTAAAACACTTACAACAAAGAAATATATGAGTAAAAGGAATTTTCAGTCTGATTTTACACATTTCATCTCAAATATGAACCAATGGATTTGCTAGTAGCAACACTAAGGTAAATTAAAACTGATATGTTGAGTAGAATGTAAAAAGGGAATTGACAAAGAGCCAAAAAAGGGAAAGTCAAACATATTTCGAGTCAAGGTGGCGAGTCAAGGGACAAAGAATAACATCCTTCCATCTGTCAAAATCCCTCTGTGTCATGAGTTCAAATACACTTCCTTTATAACCAGACGGATGCAATTACTCGTTTCAATATCCCAATGAATACAGTCTCTGTTCTGCAGTCAATGTGTGCTACCTTCTGAGAAAGTGGGAAAGAAAAAAGACACTTCACTCAGAAACTGAGAACCCGCATAAGGACCAACAAATGGCAAAATACGCTCGAGTCTTACAGTAGAAGTGTAATAATTCACATTGTATAATGAACTTCATTCAAGGAAAAAACAACATTAAAGAGTTAAGAACTATGCTGGAATATGCACACATTTTACATGCGCTATATAAATTCATCTTAATGTATTGAATGTGAGACTATAGGACAGTATCAGCAGGATGCCATCCTGTCACTCCAGCCTGACCCGTTTCCGTGGTGATGGGGGTGGGTCCAGAGCAAAGGCTGTTGGGGAAGAGGGGCGGGACTCTGGGATGTATTCCATACAGTATTTCTCAATGTATGGTCCAGCAATGTTCCACACCTGAATGCAACAGACAAGAAACAATATGGGGTGAGAATGTTTGTGTAAAGTAAATTGTCTTGAATAAAAAAATGGAAATGTAAAACTAGGTGCATTTTTGCATGCATGTTATTGATAATAGATGTATATTTATATATAACATGTATATACGTGTCCAAAAGTTCTGTATGATTTTTATTTTATGAAATGTATACTTTTAATCAGGATGCATTAAATTGATCAAAAGTAACAGTAAATACATTTGTAGTGTTACAAAATGTGTTTCAAATAAACGTTGTTCTTTCTAATCAAAGAATACTGAAAACAAATATTAAGCAGCAACTGTTTTCAAAATTGATAAGAAATGTTTCTTGAGCACCAAATCAGCATCTTAGAATGATTTCTGAAGGATCGTGTGACACTGAATTACACTGAAACAGTAGTGTATACAATTATAGTATGTAACAATTGGAGCACATGATTTACTCATAAGCTAAACTTGCAGAAACTATGACGCACACTATAATGTAAATAAGTAATGTATGCTTTTTAAAAATCATGTTTTAAAAAATGTATATTACAAACAAAATGGCTTAGAAAATAGCTAGGGAGTTCTGGGATGTTTCTGAGGGTTGCTTATTACAAGTGGATGGATAGATGTTTTGGTCTGTATTTGTTTCTGAATTTTTTTCACCTGCTTTATGATCCACCATGTTTTCATAGTTAATAGTGTTGCAAATATTAAGAAACAGTAAAGCTTACCTTTTGGTCTACAAGAAGCCGATGTACAGCTTCAATGTCTGGAGCCATGAATCTATCTTTAATCCAGGGCCTGGAGAAAAGAGAAAAGACGACAAAAATAAGTAGGAAGAGACAATGAAAGAAGCTTTGCCAATTATTAACCTGAAAGTTCATTGTTTTGGAGGTTTTGGGGTTAGTGTATCGTCATTTGACTTACTTTACTGTGGCTCGCACAAGATCATACACTTTCTCCAATGGGGTCGTTGTACGTAGGGGGCGTAGAAACTCAATACCCTGACAGGCAGCTAACAACTCGATAGCTAGCACTGTAAGGAAACATAAAACAGACATATTCAGGTTTTCTATTTGACAAAATGATATATTCTGATCTGTATTCGAAGGTTAGTGGTTATTAAACAAAAAAGTACAAAAATTACAAAAAAATAAATAAAATCTCAACCCGATCTCACTGTAAAAAAAAAAAAGTGGTTAATTCATATGAATTCATACAATCTCATTTGTATAAGATCTGCTTACAACATAGTGAAGGTTATGTTTAGGATACATGCAAAAAACAAAACAACATAGCTGACATTTTTGTTCAAAGCGAAACGTACCACCAGCAAACATTTTTCCTAAAAATGTATGTTTTCATACAATGTGAATATTATTTCTCTAAAAATCTTACTTTTTTTTATACGTGAACTTTTTTCAAAAAAATTGTATGGTTTCTACAGTTCACATTGTACGAATAATTTCAATTTTCAAAAATCTTAAATGAAAAACAAAAACATGAAGGTCCACCCTTAAACCTAACAATCATTGGTGCATAAACAGAACACCCAAAAACATACGAATGAGATGACACAAATTTTCAAAAAATTTACAAAAAAGCAAAATTTTTTAGAAGTAACTAACAAAAAAAGTAAGCATGCAGCTCCACCCCTAAACCTAACCATACACTGGGACCGAAACATAAATGAGATCATGAAATTAGCCACCAATTCACTAAAATAATCTAGTTATGAACTGTCATGAGATTGTGTTGGAAAAAATTAAGTAATTTGTGCTGTTGTGCTTTGGTGCTGCAATAGGGGGTGCCATTATAGTCACAATTTTAGCTAAATTGAACAGTGGATGATGTCAGTAGGTATATGAGAGGTTAATGTCAGGTTTTGGACCTTGCTCGACGTGCTCGACCACTCTGAGGGCTTTACGTGCGGCCCAGCCTCCCATAGACACGTGGTCCTCCGTGGCCGCACTAGTGGACAGTGAATCAATAGAGGAGGGGTGGCAAAGCACTTTGTTCTCTGAAACTGCAGATAGAAATGCATCGGTTTTAGTTAATAGTCAACATGACTTCAGTACAGTAGTCAAAATTAAACATTCTAGTATTTGGTTAAGGAAAGTTGCTCTCTCCTGAACTTTGTGATGCTAACCAAGAGCTGCAGCAGTGCAGTGTGCGATCATGAAACCAGAGTTCAGGCCTCCTTCATTGACCAGGAATGCAGGCAGCTCACTGAGAGAAGGATTGCAGAGACGTTCGATACGTCTCTCACTGATGGAGGCCAACTCGTGCACCCCGATCGCCAAATAATCAAGAGCCTAAGAATGGAAGGTACGAATCAGCAGAGATGTCACCCGAACTTTTTGCTAAATAAACGCTATTGTGTTGAGATGAAATACCTTTGCTGGATATTCTCCATGGAAGTTTCCGCCAGATATGGTCTCACCTCTCTCTGCAAAAACCATCTAACTTACAGTCAAGGCCAAAAGTGCTGAACTAAAGAAGAGGCTGGTGTAGTTATGGCGCTGACCAGCTAATCAATCTTGACACCAAACCGATTCTCAGCAGGAAAAATTAAAAAGTCATTCGATTTTCATTGAGCATTGGCGATTTGAGGTCACATGAACAACAGACACTGTTGGTACTGCAACACAAGTTCAACTGTTAATGTTACAAAATTGTAAATTCAGATAAAAAAGGATACAGGATTATCTGTGGCACTGTTGATTTCTGTATTAATGATTTTCTTGACAAACTCAATTGTGTCATTGACAATTCCATGGACCTGCAAAATATATTAAAATATAGTTCACATGTGTGTCAACCAGCTTTTATTTTGAGATTTTCTGTTTTCATTTTCATTTTTGTTCAATTTATAGCAATTTTGTTATGTGCTTTTGTAATTTTTATTAGTTTTAGTTATTTAAAAAAAAAAATGTGACCCTGGACCACAAAACCAGTCATAAGGGTACATTTTTTTAAATTTATACATCATCTGAAATTTGAATAAATAAGTTTTTCATTGATGTATGGTTTGTTAGGACAATAGGACAATATTTGGCCGAGATACAAATATTTGAATATCTGGAATCTGAGGGTGCAAAAAAATCTAAGTATTGAAAAAATCGCCTTTAAAGTTGTCCAAATGAAGTTCTTAGCAATGTTTATTACTAATCAAAAATTAAGTTTTGATATATTTACGGTAGAAAATTTACAAAATATCTTCATGGAACATGATCTTTACTTTATATCCTAATGATTTTTGGCATAAAAGAAAAATCGATAATTTTGACCCATACAATGTATTTTTGGCTATTGCTACAAATATACCCGTGCTACTCATGACTGGTTTTGTGCTCCAGGGTCACATATTACTAGGTTTATCTTCATTGTAGTTTTAGCTTTAGTTTTTAATTATTTCCAGTTAAAGGGTAAGTTCACCCAAAAATGAAAATTAGGCTGTGTTTCACTCACCCCCGAGGCGCCCATCCATAAAACAAAAGTGTCTCACGCGGCTCCGGGGGGTGAACAAAGGCCTCCTGTAGCGAATCAATGCGTTTTTGTAAGAAAAATATCCATATTTAAAATGTAATAATTTATAATAATAATATGACTTTAATCTAGCTTGCGCCAACAGTACACGGAAGCAGCTCCGGGCTGAAGCGCTGGTGAGTCTCGTGAAAACCAACGTTTGTTAACGGGAACAAAGGAAGCAGTTTCCTTACTTTAGCAAAGGAAAACCAGTCTCCTCTTGGCTTATATCGAAATCCTCTGGCATTCTTCTTTACAAATCCTCGTTTTGTAGTTCTAATTAGTGACCGTTGTTTTGTTTTGATCTCTCCCCTGCGCTTCCACGTTCGTCACTTCTGAGCGGCGCATGTGCAAAGCCGACCTCATATGTTTCTTACAAAAACGCATCGATTTGCTACAGGAGGCCTTTGTTCACCCCCCGGAGCCGTGTAAGACACTTTTTTTTTATGGATGGGCGCTTTTTATTTCACTTCTTTTGGACTGAAGCACTGCAACACCCGCTGACTGCAATGATAGAGCTTGGAATAGCCAGGACAATTTTTAATATAACTCCGACTGGATTCGTCTGAAAGAAGAAAGTCATATACACCTAGGATGCCTCGGGGGTGAGTAAAACACAGCCTGATTTTCATTTTTGGGTGAACTAACTCTTTAATGCAAACTGAATTAGACTATAATACTCATATTTGTCAAACAGTCTTATTTTAATGTTATTTGAACTTTAATTTTTTTTAATTTAAATTTGAACTTTTATATTTCCAGTTGAATTTTAGTAGAATTTTTGTAATCTAACCATTTTTATTAGCTTTTTTTTGTTATATTACTATTTGGGTTTAAATGATTTTTATGTCAGTTTTAGTTTTTATTTATTTCCGGTTAGTAATTTCAGAGCTTCAAAGTAATCCTATTTCAATTAGTTGCCTACGCAACATTTCTAATTTTCATCTAGTTTATTTTAAATAGTTTTAGTTAACTATAATAACCCTGGTGTCAACAACACTTATGATTTATTTAGGACTCTTATGGGCCCTTATGTTACCTGTGGACAACAGCGCATGGTGTAGGCATCTTGAACCCTGTCGCAAAACCGATGGCTCTCTGCAATTATTGAAAAAAAGCAAGAGAGGTTACCACCAAACGGCTAAATATGAGCTTTGATGGAGCGTACGAACACTGCAGGATTCATTCACCTGCAATTTCAGACGGGTGGTGATCAGAGTCTAACAGGGACCGGAAACGCAGGGCCACTTCCTTCTGTCCTGGATGAGGTCGCAGCTCATGAATATCTGTAAGAATTTTTTTTTTTTTTCCGCCGAAATTGTACACTTCCCATTACTCCACCATTGTATAACCAAAGCATGCGCTCTGAGAATTGGTGCAGTTCTGCATTTGTGACAGGGTCTGTGACTTTTTATGTGAGGCAGTGTTACACAAATATGTTTTGTCTCCCAAGCCATGTTTTGTCTGACAAGTCTGAAAGTTTACTTCAGTGTTTACAGTTTCGTCTCTGCAGTGAGAACAGTGTCTAAATACGTCTGCTCACATCCAGCACATCAATCACATGTTTACACAAGCTCACCACTATCAAAGGCTTTGGTGGTCCCCTTGAGGACTTCCAGGGTCAGGGCAGCAATGATGTCAGCCTGCTGGGCGATGGCCTCAGCTCTCTCCACGGCCTCTGCTCCCAATGACGTGATCATCTGAGTCCCATTGATCAGAGCCAGTCCCTGTGGACAGAGATAAACATAACCAACACTTTTATCTTTTATCACAGAACAATACTACTGAACCACTGATCTGTCTGTCAATCAATCTATGCGTTTATTAATCTATTCACACTCTATCTATCATCACCTAAAAACCAGAACAGCCTGAAGAACTGCTGAGCAACCACGTTCTAGAACACATATATAGTTTATAAAATCTTTCTTCTCTAGATTGTCTAGTTTGTAACTTTGCTAGACAAAAATGACTTGTTTTAAAGGTTACAGTGGGTTCTAAGGGGGGCTTCACTGTTAAAATGGACCAGGCAGGTCAAGGACACACATTTCTGACCCCAAAAACAGCTCCAAGTCAACAGAGATAAACATGTTGACTGCACAATGGGGGGATTAACCGTACCTCCTTTGGCTTCAGAGATATGGGCTTCAGACCATGTGCTTCCAAAACCTGCGGCAATACAAAGGTCAAACGTGACTTTAAAGGCTAAACGAGGAGTAAATGTGTTTATGCATTGCTTTCATTATCATTAGGACAAAGATGTGCAACCAAAGCATCCAATAAATCTGTGCTTACGTATTTGGAGTCCGCCCAGCCGCTCTTGGGTGACCACATCTGGCCTTCTCCCATCAGGCCGAGGGCGAGGTGAGAAAGAGGGGCAAGATCTCCGCTCGCACCGACCGTACCCTTCTCCGGGACGTACGATAAACAGGAGGCTGAGAAGTGAAAAGAAAGAAAACAGTAAAATATCGATTTAACTCTTTTGAGGAAGAAATTCAAAGAAACCGTTTGCTAATGTTATTTCAAAGACGCAGCAACTAACATGAAAGTATTCTTTGAAATGGCACACCATATGTCATATGCTGTGCCAAAGAAACCAAAAACCCCAACAATACCCTCTTCAGTTAAAATAATGAGGGATGCATTAATGTACCATTGAAGGCTTGGATCATGCGGTGCAGGGTCTCCAGTGAAATCCCGCTGAGCCCTTTGGCCAACACATTGATCCTCAGTGCAAGCAGCATTCGAGTTCTTTCAGGACTTAAAGGGCTTCCCAGACCTACAGTGACATATAATCAAATATAATAATAAATATAAATTATGTCAGTCAATTCATCGCAGGAATTTTTCTATGATGAATAAATGTCACACAAAAGCATATGCGGAAACGTGTTCACATATACACTACCGGTCCAAAGTTTGGAATCGTTACGATTTTTGTTCATGTTTTTGAAGGAACTGCTCACCAACGCTACATTTATGTGATCAAAAATACAGCAAAAACAGTAATATTGTGAAATAAAATTTCAATTTAAAACAACAGTTTTCTATTTTAATATGTTTTAAAATTTATTTTATTCCTGTGATGCAAAGTTGAATTTTCACCAGCCATTATTCCAGTCTTCAGTGTCACATGATCCTTCAGAAATCATTTATACTGTTATTTCACAATAATACTGTTTTTACTATATTCAAGAGACTTCTCTAAAACATTTAAAAAATCCTAACAATTCCAACCTTTTGACTGGTAGTGTATATTTAATTTGACTAAAAGATGTCACACCTGAGGAGTGTGAGCGCAGAAGATTTTCTTGAAGCTCCCTGAAAGAGAGAAATATGTGAGATGCTGTTAATTTAAATGCAAAAGATTTCAGGAGTAAAAAACATTTGATAAATTCAAAAACTACATATACTTAAGCTTGCTGACTGGGATGACAGTCCGAGCAAATTTACCAAATCCTGTAGTGATGCCATAAACGACTAAAAAAGGAAAAAGAACATATTTATGAAATCCTACACAATTTAATATTTATGCAGGTTATTCAAATATTCATGCTCTGGCAAATGTGCAGTTTTGCACTACATTTTTACATTTTCAGCAGAAAGAGTTGTGCCTAAGTAGTCCAAGTCAAAAGAGCAAGTCGAAATGATTTGTTTGCGACATTTTATCATCTGTAATCTTTAAAATAAAGGTTCTTTGTTGACATCTATTGTTCCATGAAGAAGCTTTGACATCCATGAAACCTTTCCATTGCACAAAAGGATCTTACATTATTAAATGGTTCGATTCACTGAAAGGTTCTTTGAGCAACCCAAAATGGTTCTTCTATGACATTGCTGCGAAAACCTTCTTTTGGGACCTTTATTTTTAAGAAAAGGCCTAAACAAATTTTTTTGAAAAAGTTTGATCACTTACAAAAGACACAACACATATTTCCTTTATGTAAGCGGATGTCATGCTCACCTTTGTTTTCTTTCACAATGGTGTCCAGAAGCTCTCTTGATTGCACAACCTTTTGCTCAGCCTCTAGGGTCAGCTGAGGGTCAGATCACAGTTTTTCCATCGAGAAATATTGTTCATAAATGTAAAATCTTCACAAAACTTAGTTTGAAGTCCACCATAAATCCACTTACCTTAATCTTATACAGGCCTTTCCCTAAATTCACAAGATCAGTTGAGGTCAGGCTGTTCCCATCTAGAGAAATGTACTAAAAACAGACCGCTGTCATTAATACTGTAGTACTGATTAAGTTTAGCAGTGATATTTCATACTTACTTGTTCTGGTTCTCTGTATGCTCTTGTTCTGTTTTAACATTCACATTAAGGATATTTTCAGAGCTGTTAACACAGTTTACACATGGAAAGAATAGCTAAAAGCTTTTGAGAGACTTTCCAAAAGATACAACAATCATTTACATGCAAGTCTGTGTTTCGTCAAAAAAATCAACTAATGATTCCAAATCTGAGACTGGGTGAAATGTTATATACGTGTTAATAAGTAAAGGTTAGAAATCAGTCATAAAATAAAAAAATAACAAGCATGGTCAAATTAATGCATCCTATTAGCGAAATTAATTTAAAAAATGCTATAAACTGCACAAAAAATATGAAAAATGTACTTAAAATTTATTAAAATATCACAGAAATTAAGTGTTAAGTATCACTTTCCAGGTCCACTTTTAATATAATGCCTTTAAATGATCTTAATTGTGGGGTTTTCTCAGTAAAAACTGATGTATGTGATTAATTGCAACTACTTTTGACAATATAATTTATTCCATTTAAAACACGATGATTGTCAATATAAAGATACAGATGTGACGTCCCAGGCTGACTTGGAATGAAATCTTGTGACATGGTGTCCCCTTCAATAGCTGAAGATAACAGTAAAATAACATGTTATCGACTCATCTTGCAAAACAAGATTTAGTATTTGTGGTAAACAGTCTCCAAAGAACAATCTCTCCAAAGCCAGCAAAGAACTGAATGATTGCATCAATCTCTCGACAAACACTGAACATGTAAACCATATTTGTAATGTTACCAAGTTCAATAAGTGTTAAGTATCACTTTCCAGGTCCACTTTTAATATAATGCCTTTAAATGATCTTAATTGTGGGGTTTTCTCAGTAAAAACTGATGTATGTGATTAATTGCAACTACTTTTGACAATATAATTTATTCCATTTAAAACACGATGATTGTCAATATAAAGATACAGATGTGACGTCCCAGGCTGACTTGGAATGAAATCTTGTGACATGGTGTCCCCTTCAATAGCTGAAAATAACAGTAAAATAACATGTTATCGACTCATCTTGCAAAACAAGATTTAGCATTTGTGGTAAACAGTCTCCAAAGAACAATCTCTCCAAAGCCAGCAAAGAACTGAATGATTGCATCAATCTCTCGACAAACACTGAACATGTAAACCATATTTGTAATGTTACCAAGTTCAACAAAGTCATTATCCTCAAGCACATCTTCTATGGTATCGTCATTGTCCAGCAAGCCCAATCCCTGACATCTTTTGACCCCAAAATGCACATCTTTGATGTGCTGGATCCCTCCATTGTCAGGTTTGTTCTTGATGTAGCGCTTGAGAGCTTCAAAACCCAACCATTTAATGGAGCAGGTGGCATCTTTGCATGGAACGGTTAGCCACTCGTCCCGAACGTGGACCGTGAAACGAGGCATCACGTTAGACTGAACATCCACAGGCTGATACCTGAGGAGTGCGATCAGCAAGGCAAATCACTTCACACTAAATGCAATGGACCAATCAAAGGCTGTTCTGTGGACCCCTCCTTTACCACAGAAGACAGAGTACATGGTGCTGTTTGAATATGTTATCTCTGCACCAAAGGTTCTGTGTTATAATACGCTTGTCAAAAAGACTAAAATCTTTCAGTCAACAAACACTGTCAGACTGAGTGATTCAGTTTAAAGGGGTCATATGATGCGATTTCAATTTTTCCTTTCTCTTTGGAGTGTTACAAGCTCTTGGTGCATAAAGAAGATCTGTAAAGTTGCAAAGACTAAAGTCTCAAATCCAGAGA